TGGGGGCTGGAGAGATGGCTCAGCCATTAAAGGCTAGGCTCACAACCAAAAAGGTGGGCTAGGAATGGGGATTGGAGAGAAGGCTCAGCAGTTCAGAAAGTTTGCTGCTCTTCCAGAGAACACAAGTTTGGTTCCTAGCACCCAAGTTGGGCAGCTCACAACCACTTAGAAGTCTAGTTCCAGGCAATCCAACACACTCCGCTGGACTCCTCAGTCACCCACATAGGAATGACTAACACAGACATACACATAATTGCATTTTTAAAGGAGAGGTTGATTTTGCAATACTGTTATTAGAAAACTAATGTCAGGCAATCTTTCTACTTCTAAATATAAAGCTAAGCATATGCATTTATCTCCACTTACAAACCCACAATATATGGCAGTAAGGGGAGAAGAGAAAGTATAAACCCAGTGATAAAAACAGCTAGCTGCAGCAGCAAGATTTTGTGTGCTTCTGAAGCTTGGAAAGGCTCAGGAATTCTGAAGGCATACTGCTTCTGCCCCTACACTTTGACAGCTACATGATGTTGGGGTAGGCCACTTGCTGACTCTGCTGCAATCTCAGGGGAAAGCCAAGAATGAGTACTATGAGACACAGACGCTAATGGCTGAAATGGGTCCAAGGAACTGGGAATTCCAGGGAAGGCAGGTTACGAGATCTGTCTTAAAATCCTTGTGTAATTTGACTTCTAAAAATAGCTACATGTATCATTTTGATTTTTTTTAAGAAATACTTTTCTTTTTAGACAGGATTTAACTCTTTAGCCCAGGCTTGCCTGAAATAATTTTCTGTGAGTGTTTTGCCTTCCTGTATGTCTGCACCACATGTGTGCCTAGTGTCCAAGAAAGCCAGAAGAGGACATTGAATTCTCTGGAACTGGAATGACAGATGGTTGTGAGCTGCCACGTGGGTTCTGGGAACCAAACCTCAGTCCTCTGCAAGAGCAGCCAGTGCTCTTAACCACTGAGCCATCTCTACTTTTGACAAGGGTAAGAGTAGGAAAAAAACACAAGCATTGGAGGTCTGGGTGAGGTAGCAATGCCAGTAAATAATCTAGCACTTAGGTAGTGTGGTGCTTTGAATGAAAATGTCCCACATAGGCTCATAGGGAATGGTACTATTATGAGGTGTGGCCTTATTGGAATTGGTGTGGGCTTGTTGGAGGAAATGTGTCACTGGGGGTGGGCTGTGAGGTCTCAGATGCTCAAGCTAGGACCAGTGTCTCTCTCTTCCTGCTACCTTTGGATCCTGCTGTTGTTTTTTACTCTTTTGGGAGGCCTACCACCCAGTTCCCAAAAAAAAATCACACACAGAGGCTTATTCTTAATTATGAATGCCTGGCCTTAGCTTGGCTTGTTTCTTGCCAGCTTTTCTTAAATTAACTTGTCTGTCTTTTGACTCTGGGCTTTTTCTTTTCTTTTCCTGTATACCGTTCTTTATTACTCCGTTGCTGGTTATGTAGCTGGGTGGCTGACCCCTGATGTCCTCCTCCTTCCTTCTCATTCCTCGATCTTTTCTTCTCCCAGATTTCTCCTTCTATGTATTCTCTCTGCCTGCCAGCCCCACCTATCCTTTCTCCTGCCTTGCTATTGGCCATTCAGTTCTTTATTAGACCATCAGGTGTTTTAGACAGGCACAGTAACACAGCTTCACAGAGTTAAACAAATGCAACATAAACAAAAGTAACACACCTTAAAATAATATTCTACAACAGGATCTAGATATAGAACTCTCAGCTCCTTCTCCAGCACCGTGTCTGCCTGCATGCCACCATATTTTCCATCATGATGATAATAGACTAAACCTCTGAATTGTAAGCCAGCCCCAATTAAATTCATTCCTTTTAAAGAGTTGCTGTGGTCATGTTGCCTCTTCACGGCAATAAAAACCCTAAGTAAGACATGTGGCTAAAATAGGAGGAAAGCCAGTTCCAAAGCAACCTGCCTTTCACAGGGAAACCCTGTTTAAAAAAAGGTTGGGGGAGAGGGGGCCAGAGATGTAGCTCAGTTGGTAGACTGCTTACCTAGCAAGTGTGAAGTTCTAGGTTTGATACCCAGCATCAAACAAGCAGGGTGTGGTGGCACATGCCTGTATCCCTGAATTCAGGAGGTGGAGGCAAGAAGATCAGAAGTTCAAGGTGATACTTGACTACATAGTAAATTCTGTTCCAATCTGGCCCACAGGAGAGCCTGTTCAATGTATTGTTTCCAAACTTAAAAAATCCCCCAGCACTCAGAAGGCAGAAACAAGCAGATCTCTTGTGAGTTCCAGGTCAGCCTAGTCTACATAGTGATTTCAAGGACAGTCAGAGCTACATAGAGAGACCCTTTCTCCAAAAAAAAAAAAAAAAAAAAGGAGAGAGAGAAAGAAAAAGAGAAACCAACTTTTCAAAAACATAAATTAAACAAATAAAAGAAGACTATGTCCAGAGAAATAGTTCAGTTGCAAACGTGAGGACCTGGTCTTAATACCCAGAATCCACATTAAAAAGCTGGGCATAAACTGGATATGCCCAGTTTAATTCTAGCACTCAGGAGGCAGAGGCAGGCAGATCTCTAAGAGTTCAAGGCCAGTGTAGTCTATATAGTGAGTTCCAACCAGCTGGAGTTACATAATAAGGCCCTGTCTCCAAAGAAAGAAAGAAAGAAAGAAAGAAAGAAAGAAAGAAAGAAAGAAAGAAAGAAAGAAAGAAAGAAAGAAAGAAAGAAAGAAAGAAAGAAAGAAAGAA